GCCACAGAAAGGGGGAAGATATTTTGCAATCATATAACGAACAAAGGATTAATATCTAGGGTAAATAATAAGTCCCTCTAAATAACTTTTTAAAACACAAAAACCCCAATGGAAAAATGGGCAAAGAATATGAATAGGCAAGTCATAGAAGAGGAAATTCAAATGGACTATAATATGGAAAGATATATAATAACCTTTCTAGTAATTAGGATAATGCAAACTATGAAAAGAATACGATTTCACATTTTTCAGATTGGTGTATATTCTATTTAATTCACTACCAGTAGGAATGTAAAAAATCTGGGTGAGCAATTTGGCACACTATCCAGTAAGAATGAAGACGCAGGTGTTCTTGGACCCAGCTATCCCACTTCTGGTCCTAGACACAAGGAAACAGGTTCAAAATATTTCATGAGAGCCAGTTTCCAAGAACGAAAAATTGTAGATAACCTAAATTCCATCAACAGAAGAATGGATTAAAAGAAAAAAAACTGTGGTATATTCAAACAGTGGCCCTGAAACTAGAGCTAGATGTGTGAAGGGCGTATTCCAAAGCAAGTTGTAGAATAATCTGTATGATAATCTATGCCACTTATATCAAGTTTGAAAACAGAAAATAACTTATTTATGGATACATGAATATATATAGTAAGAGAATGAAAATGCATATGAACAAATTCTAGATAGTGTTTACCTCTGAATGAACACAGGAAGCACGGAAAAGGGAATAAAGAAAGGGACACAGGGGCTTCATCTTTATCTTCGATTAAAAAATGATTCAAATATAGTAAAACGTTAAGATACTATAAAGGACGGTGGTGAATACACTGCCGTTCATTTTGAAATTCTCTACGCTTTTCTACGTTGAAATTTTTCATAAGGAAAAAGAAATGCTTTGATTCTATAACATAGGATTAATTACGTAACAAGAAAAATCTCCTGTCTCTCTCCTAATACTTTTTTTTTTGCATAACAGGCTCTGATGCTCACTCAATAGCTCTATGACTTCAGGCGAGTTATTTAGACCCGCTGAGCCTTCGTTTCCCAATGTACTAATTGAACGTAATAATAATAATACCTTCTTCATAGTGTTGTTGGAAAATTAAAAGGCCTTTAGCACAATGCATGTGATAAGCAGTCGGTGCTTGCTCATTTTGTTCACTCATCTAACAGATATTCACTGAGCCTCTACGTGCCTGGCACTGTCCTAGACACTGGGTATGCTGCAGTGGAAAAACAGATAAAAATCCCTGTGTTTACAGAGCATACAGTCTAGTAAAAAGAGGCACTGGGTAAAGATAAAAAAAGTTAAATATATAGAACAAATGATAGTAAGTGCTAAGAGAGAAATAAGGCAGGGGACGTCAGCTATGATCGCCTTTCTCCTGTCTGTTTTTTTCTTCCTCTCCCATCCCTCTTCCCCTCAACCTTACTTACACCACCCCTCTCCCTCTCCCTCTCCCTCTCCCTCTCCCGTTTATTTGCACTGCTCCCATGGCTATGACACCCTGGCACTGAACTGTTTGTTACCCAGTAATCTTAATGATTGATTTCTGCTTATTAAGGACACTGTAGCTTTTGTGGAGTCAGGGTGTGAGCTTTAAGTTTCCTTTCTATTCAGGGCACTTAGCACAATAGTAGGCTGGTCGAGGTTAGCTCTGCAGACTCCTGTTGTTTGACAGATGACTGAAAATTATCAGACCAATTGGGTAACCCATCAGAGCCACTAACGGGGAGAGCTTGAAGCCCCACAGAGACACTTCCCCTAGAGGGCTGGTCTCCCAGCCCAGCTCTGATGTTTCCTAACAGTGTGGTCTTAGGCAAATTTCCTCACCTCATCAGATCTTTGTTTCCTTGGCTATAACATAGGAGAGTCGTATAAGATGGTCTCTAAGGTGCCTGCTTGTGCTAACACTACTCGTTGAACCCCATTTTCATCATCTAGGGTTTTCCATTTTTCATACTGTTTCATATTATGTTTTCGTTGTTTCATATTATGTTTCTATCTTTGTTGACCTGGACTAACGTCTCAGCAAATATTTCTTCATTTTGGAGACCCTTTCCTTTTAAGCGTTTGGTGCTATCTTTCGACTTGACTTTATGAACAAGAGTCGTATCACAGGATCATAGCACGAGTTGCAAAACAATAATTAATAACAATTAACGACAGTTAGAGATAATAACAAGAATTACCATTTATTAAGCACCTAGTGTGTACTATTGCTAATTATGGTACTTCTGCAATATAGGTTTTACTGTCCCCCTTTCAGAGAGCCTTATTGCAGAATGACTGAAGAGCACAGTCATGGGTTCAAGTCCCAGTTCTGCCACTTAATAACTGTGTGATATCTGACGGTTACTTTACCACTCTTAAGCTTCAATCTCCTCCTTTGCAAAAGGAGAGTATCATTCATCCCAGACGGTTATAATGAGGCTTTAATGCAATAATAAATCTACAGTGGTTAAACATAGTGGCTGCCACAGGGCAAGGGCTCAATAAACAGCTTAATTTATTTTTAACATTTGCAAAGAGTAACTCATCAAGGTCCCAGTTACCAAGTGGCAGAACTGGATCTTGACTCCCGCTCAGTTACCCAAAGTGCTGTGCCTGCTCCGGGGCTTACAGGACCCATTTTGGGGAAGTAGAGGGAAAGTTTAGTTTTGGAGACTGCATCTCACAGTGACAGCAAAACCTGAAACTTGCTGAAATCCAAATGGGACTGAAAAACAGACACCACCCTAGGGATGGAGGAAGAATGAGGATAAATTGCAGGATGGGAGACTCTGGCCTGAGCCCTGTGGGTGCAGAGATCATGGAGACCGTGGCAGGCTCCATGGAGAAGGGATATAGGAATAGATGTGCATCACCTGCTGGGCATCCAGTGGCCTCAGAGTTAAGCCAAAGACTTTCCTCGGCAGCTTTCCTAGGCCAAAAGAATTAATCTAAGATGAAGGGGGGTGTGTGTGTACAGAAGCCAGGTGCAATTAAGGAGAAACTGATAAATTCCACCAAATTCCACCTGTCACCTTATTTCTGAGACTTGAAAGAGCACAGCTCACAACTCAAATTGCCTTTCTAGGGACCAAGTCTTTTGATGCCATCTGGCCTTATTTTCCCATCGGTGCTATGAGGAGATTGGACTAGGGGATCTGTAAGGAAATGGGAACAGGTCTTGGAGCTAGACCAAACTGAGGCAAATCTGTACTCAATTACTGACAGAGAGAGTCACTTCTTCATCTGTAAGAGAGGATAATACCACCTGTCTCAGTTCGTGGTAAGGATGAGACCTGTGCTAAGTATTAAGCAGAGTTTTTGGCACATAGTAAGTACTCAGCAAATGGTAATATGCGTAAGACAGAATCACAAGGAAAACAGGCCTATAAATAAGTAAACTAGAGGGTGTGGGCAAGGGGAAATTCTCTCTTTTCCCTCTTAGTTCTTCTGGCTGATCTAATAATCAAATTGACACGAGACAGATTAACAGGAGAAGATAACCAAACTTAATTATGTATATACACATGGGGTTCCGTAAGAATATGGGACCCAAAGACAAATCAGACAGTCGAGGCTTACATGCCTTCGTAAGCTAAGGAGAAAGGAAAGGGGGCTTGTGGTTGGGGACTTAAAAGGGCAGGAAGGCAATTCACGTGGAGATGGTAAAGCAAAGTTTTGGTACACAGATGTTTGCTGGGCCATCTTTAACAGTGGGACACAGAGAGGACTTCGATCAAAGGAGACTTGCTGGTTCCTCCCTATCACGTACTAGTTCATATTAAACTACGGTTATCTTACAGTAATAGCTCTCTTCCTGGAGCAGGTCCTCTATTCTCTACCTAAATTCTTTAAGGCAGTTGGGAGAAGGCCAAAGGTTCTTCCTGAGTCTTTCGTTTCTTAAAAATAATCAGCTTAAAGCAATATCACACACACAAAAAAAGGCATACATGGGGGTGGCAAATTCTGCTCCCCCTCAAGAGAACTAGGAAGCAGAGGTGAGCCTGCAGGGAGGTGGGTGAGTCTGGGATGTTCCATGGGACAGCAGAGTATCTCCATGGAGACATACCCTTGGGAGTCATTCTGGAGATGAAGGCTCTCTCTGACTCTGGCATTCAGGAAGCCCTGAGTTGAGCCCCTAGCATAAGTGGCTCGTTCCACTGTTCGTGGTGGTGTCATGCCATGAAAGTAAAGATGGTTTTGAAATAATGTATCATCTATTAATTTTTGTCATCTCCCACAAGTACTTGGCTTGCAAAATAGGAATAAAAATGCCTTCTTTACAGGGTGGTTGCAGAGATTAGAGAATATACGACTTTGAGCACAGCAACGCACATATTGGAAAATCTTTTTAAGTGTTCACATCCCTTCTTATGAAATAACCTACTAGCAATTGAAAATGGAGAGTACTACTTGAAAATGCCACATCTTTTCAGTTTAATACTTCTGAAAATCGTGTATTAAACAGAGGTCTCAGAAACATTTAAGGAATCAATGCAGTTGTTGCACATTTAAGTTTTCAGTTCTGTTTCTAGAATTATGTCGGGTCATTGGTAGATACATAAACCAGAAGGAAAAGTCGCTGCCATGGACATCCTGACCATGTAATCGGGGGACTAAGCTAAAATAAGCTTGTGGGAGAAATCAAACTAAAAGACACAATGTCCACAAATGCTGAACAAAGAGGGGAGGGGGCTCCACCAGAATGAGGCCGGTGCATATGTGGGAGCTCAGAAGCATTGGGACAGGTGGCTCAATAGGTGTCATATTGATAGATTGAGCAAGGAAAAGATCCACTTGCCATAAAGTGTTAATGACACCTTACACTAAGCATTCGGTTAGGCTGAGGACACAGCACAGAAGAGCAGATCATGACCATGAGCAGATCATAACTGAGTGGGGAGTGAGTCCTGAACAGATGTTTGGAACACGGGGCAGCAAGCGCTCTGACCAAGTACGCCAACATGACTTACCCTTCTGTTTGGATCCTTTCTCACTTTCTCGCCAGGGTCTTTTCACCTAATTCACTTGATGTTTGACGACTACGTGCTCTACCTGTTAGAATCCCTACACTGTCAGGAGCGGGCCAACGAGCTCATGCGCGCCATGAAGGGAGAAGGAAGCACCGGTAAGCCCGCCTTGCCCTGGGGACTGCCCCGCTTGGCACTTTGATTTGTATCCTTACTTCTGTGCTCTGAGTTTCTTCAGCCCTCTATCCTGAAGACTTTGTTATGGTGAGCAGGTCAAGTGGTGTGAAACCAGTAATGTCTCTTCTTTAGAGTGGACATACGTGCTTTTGGGAATTGTCTTGCATGCCATGGTGGTGATGGGAAACCATCGAAGGGTTTTAAGCAGAGGAGTGACGTGACACAGATTAGAAAGAATATTTCATTTTTTAAAAGTCCCTTAAACCAGTTGACCTTTGGTTCTAAGAACCATCCTTTCTCTACCCGTAGCAGAAGTCCGAGAAGAGATTATCCTGACGGATGCTGCCCCACCGACCCCTTCACCAGTGCCATCATTTTCTCCAGCAAAATCTGCCACGTCAGTGGAAGTGCCACCTCCCTCCTCCCCTGTCAGCAACCCATCCCCCGAGTACACCGGCCTCAGCACTACAGGTAATGAAAAGTCCCCCGAAGGCTTCGAGTGGCGAGTTGATGTTTAAAACAAGAGCTTTCTTGAAAATCATTCTTCCCTCAAGCTTCCCCCCACTCCCCCCACCAGGCCGACTTGCAATTATTCATTTATTCATTTGTACATATTCCTTATGCTTCTGTTTTCAAGTTGGCAGATTAAGTACATGATAAAATCTCCATCCCCCCCCCCCAAAAAAAAACCTAAGCCACTGAAGCTATTAAAATGATATAAAACATAAATTAAGACATGGCCATTCTTGAAAATGAGAAAGGGAGCTCTCTAAGACCCAGAAACCAAGAAAGTGGAGCAGACAGGAAGCCATATGTTAAGCCATGGCAACCGCAATCGAGACAGGAGAAATAAGGTACAAACCAATGCTTTCGGGTCCCCTAGAAAGGGGAGACTCCATCTGGTCAGAGGTCTCAAGGAAGACCTCACAAGGGCGGGGGATTTGAGCTGGGACTTGACTTCAGCTGACAAAGGTTTGGCAGAAGGGCCTTCGGGGCAGAGGACCGTGTGAGCACACGTGCAGGGGCCTTTTTGGAGACTGGTAAACTCGCGTTGAAATGGAGGAGGTCCGTGAAGGAGTTGTACAAGGATGGGAAGGTAAGATGGAGTCGCATCCGGGAGGATCTCGAATACCAAGACAAGGTTTGGAAATGGAAAACTGATGTTCCAGATAATAATAGCTCGTCGTTAATGTCCAGATGTTACTTTACGATATACAAAGGGTCTTCCCATAATCATCTCACTTGATATTCACAATAACCCTGCAAGGTAGATATCATTCCATTTATGGAGGAAAACTAAAAGGGCGGAAAGATTTAACGTCCTTGTCCTGGGTACCGTAGTCAATAGTAGACATAAATGAATACATTCACTCAGTTCAACAAATGCCCTTGCTCACGAGACTTGTAGAAATGATATATGTGGAATATTCATAAGTGTTAGCTAATACATAATAATAAATGGAGAATGCATGTGCGTCTGTAGCTCCCGATTATTTCACGCAGTTGCTGTGGGGATTGGATGAGGCAGGAAAGGCCAAAGTGCTTTAACAGTGAAGAGCTCTCCAGATAGAGGGGGATACCGGTATTAAGACCAGTAAAATGAGAGCTACAGCCACAAGTGTATAGGAGTTCAGAGGGAGAAGCAGTCACTTTCCTTCCCATCTGAACTCTGGCAGGCAGGAGGGGAGCCTTCGGGGGAGAGGGGAGACTCAAAGGCAACCTTAAGTGCCAGGAAGGTCGGGGCTAACAGGAGAGGAGTGGGCACACAGGGACCTAAGGCAGGGACAGCCTTCGGCCCAGTGGGCCCTGGGGTAGGGGTGGGGCAGACAGGTAGACCAGTCTTTGTGGAATGGATAGCCTGGTAAGACTGTGATCATTAATTCATTATCTTTCCATCCAAACCTGCTCTGCTATTCTCCCAGCTACCCATGTCCCGAATCTGGGAGTCAGCTTCAACTCTTCCTGCTCCCTCAACTCCTGTATTAGTTAGGATAGGCTAAGCTGCTGTATTGTAACAAATAGATCCAAACATGGATGGAGTTAACCCAATAGAAACCCTGTGTCATGCTTGCAAACAGTCCTGGCAGGGTGCTGTCAGGCAGGAAGCTCTCTGTAATGCAGCCATTTGGAAGCACATGGCCCTTCAGTATTAGGCTCCACCATATCTCAGGGCAGTGGTTCTCAAAGTGTGGTCCAGGGACCAGCAATATCAGCATCTCCTGGGATCTTGTTTAAAATGCTCATGATCAGGTTCCTAGTGAATCAGAACCTCTAGGGGTGGGGCCCAGAGATTTGCTCAACGAGCCTCCAGGTGATTCTGATGCTCAAGAGTTTGAGGACCGCTGCCTGAGGGCTTTGTCAAGTCTGCAACCGCCTGACAGAAATGGAAAGTGGGTATGGAGGAGGAAAACCCTACGTAAAAGCCCTGGCCTGAATGTGGCACATGTCCCTTCCACTTACATTCCATCAGCCAGGACTTGGTCACATGGCCTCACGTAAGGCTGGGAAATGTAGGATAGCGCGTCCCCAGGTAGGGAAGGGGGAAGAGCTTGGGGCGAGACAGCTGGCATTCCCCACCACACCTCCCAAGGCCACTTGTTCTAATAAGAATCCTGACTGACTCCCATTCATTCCCCTTCCCACTTCTGCCATATGGTTCAGGCCTTCCCCACCTCTCAGGGACATCTACGGTGACGCTCAAGCAGGTTACCTGCCTCCAGAGACTCGTCTATCCACTTCGACACTGCCCACTGGGCTTATTTTCCTGAAGCCTGTGCCTCCTCAAAGTGCTGGTGCAAACAGTCCACTGCCTCGTGCTAACGCCTCAAAGCGCCCTATTCCCCAAAGCACTTCTCACACCGTTCCACCTCCAGGACCATCCTCCTTCCACCCATCTGATAAAATCCTACTCATCTCTTTCACTCTTCCCTCACCCTCCGGGTTAGAGTCTTCCTCCAGACCCTCATAGCATGGGCTTAGATCTCAGAACTGTTTTCAGAATAGACTGGGAATGAAATTATATTTTTTTGAAGACCAAATAAATAGGGTGAGACTGCCCTATCTAGGATGTTGTCTTTTATCCATTCATTCACTCACACCTCCAGCCATCTATCCATCCATCCATTTATCCAATAACTATTTCTCAAGTGGCTTCTATGTGCTGAACACTTCAGATAGCTGGTGACACAAACAAGAGAAACGAGGTCCCTGCCCCCTGGGAGTTTACTGTTTAGAGGTTAGGGTTCTGATGAGTTGGGACTATATGTCATGAGTGCTAAGTCGGGAGAAGGGTTAGTGTGTTAGGGGAGCACAAAAGGGGGCCTCCAACCTGCACTTGGAGGGTCTGGGAAGGCTGACTAATGAGAGAGAAGGTATTCCAGAAAGTAAATAGTACCAAGGCCTGGAGGCAAGAGAGAGCATGCCATTTTCAGGGATCTTGACGTATATATCTCAGCAGTCTTTTGAATGATTCCTTTCCTAAAGTTTCCTCTCTTCAGAACTGAAGCTACTCAGAGGGGAAATGAGCAGATGCCGAAGAGCCTGCAAGGTGCCTGCCTCTTCTGTACTTTGCTGGGGCGGCAATTTACCAACACTCTCAGTGGCCCTTTGTCACGGGGCAGCTAAGGAGACGGGATTCTTCAAGAGTACTGAAAATGAGGGTTGTCGGTAAATGGCATGAGATTGAGCTTTGATTTCACTTTGGGTGCACAGCTAGGGTGGGTCCTCCTCTGCCGTGGAAACTTAGATCTGAGCATCACCAAATTTTTTTACATTGATGCACCTCAAATCATGTTTTGTACATGACCCCCTGCTCCCTCCCTCCCATTTTCTCTACATTGTGGGTGGTTTTAATTCCTGCCTAGAAGGCTCACAAAGAGGAATCATAAAGAACAACGCTGTTCACTGCACATAAAAAGAGAAGGGACCTCAAGCCCTGCTCACGGCTCTTCAGCTGCTCAGGGGTCTTCCAAGACTGGAATTATGGGGCAGCTATCCCGAGCCTCCTGTCTCACCCAGGAAGGATGGAGGGCAGGAAGAGCTGCTCGGAGCCATTCACCCGAATGTCCTGCTTGCAGCCCGCTCCCATCCTCCACCATAAGTCAGTCAGTAACATCCTCACTTCTAAAACCAACAGGGAAATTATGCAAATAAAACAGTTCTGCTTTGCGAAGCAGAAACAATTTGGAATCTTTCTTGCAGTGTAGCAACGTAACAAACAAGGAGATGCCAGGGAAACTCGGGGATGGGAGGAGCGTGAAGGAGCGATTTCTAAGATCGCTCCATAATTCTTGCCCAGCTAGTGAGTCACTCCTGGCTTTCTCTGTAGCAATGTGGAGGCCTCCAGGTGTGGCAGGTGTGACAGTCAAAGCCCCAGGAATAGCATAAATATGTTGAGCGATTTCTGTGCAATATGTTCAAGAGTCATAAAAGTAGCTTCTTAGAAATAACAAATGTGAACCAGGTTCTCTTCAGATGACTGTAACCTTTGAAGATTTTGGCACATTCCAGCTTTGTTCTCAGATATCTCCAGGGGGCATTAAAAATGTCATCCTATATAAAACTACATGCAATATTTTTCTCAAGTACCACTTTTGAAATACTCCATTGGTAAATTGGACTGGATCTTGGCATGTATTATGGGTCATGGTCTGGGAGGAAACTTAACTATAATTTTCTAACAACATATACGGTTTTATAGATATTATCATAAAGCACAAATTATTTATCCATGATGTATACCTAAATAGCAGGAAATTATGGTAGGCTTTTTAAATTTGGGGATTTGTGTAATTTTTCATTGAACAATATTATAAATTGGAAAGAAATTACTGTAAATCACATAAAATGAATTTGCCATGTTTTTTTTAAAGTTAACTCGACATATGGTTTTCATGCCATTAATTTTTATTTCCATCTTAAAATTATTGCTTGTTTATATACCATTATTTTCTGAAAAGGGATCTGAAGTGGTTAACCAAAAAAAAAAAAAAAAAGCAAAACCAATTTTTTAAAAAAAGACCCAAACCAAGAAGCAAGAAATAAAGAAGTGGGTAAAATAAAACAAAGCAAAACAGAAAAACTCAAAATAACTAGGCTAAAACAGTTTATTAACACCTTAAATGAAATTGTGTGTGATCTAGTTATTTTGTTGGGTTCCTAGCATACTCTGAATGTCACTGCTCAGATGGTATATGTATTATCAAGCTCAGCTTACTGAGAGTCAAGGCCAATCAGGCATTTGTGATTCTTCCTCAAATCAGTGTCTCACTTTTGATGGACACTTTCCCATTTTTCAGCTATGAGAAAGAGAACTGTATTATGTCTGCTTGGTGAGCACAAAGTAGTATCAATGAATCGTGAATCTCACTAGGAATACAGCCACTCTGCTCATCTGGCTATCTAGTTCTGTGTTCACATCTATATGTGTTTCTAAATGTGTTTTCTTAAGACTGTATTTATTAACTGTTTTT